GGGAATTTTTTTTTTTTTTTTTTTTTTTGCTCCCATGTAAAATTTTTCCTGTCAGGTACTGCTTCATAGTTTTGATCTTTTCTCTTGAATTAAATTATTGCTTTAATTGTTTGTTATGGGTGAGACAATTTTAACATCCGAGGCAGCCTCAAGTTCGTCCCAGTTGAACTCGTCATCCCGTATAATTTGTCGGGTGTAAGTATGACGTATTTTTTGCTTTGATTTTAATATCAGTTTCTTAATCTTGCTTAATTTAGTTTAATTTTAATTTCTTTAGCAAGTTGTGAGCTTTTTTTTTTGCTCAACCCTCAATGGGTTTATTATTGATTTTGGTTTTTGACTTGTTGTGCTCGAAGTATGCCCCTTTTGTTTGCTTTTTTTTTCTTGTGGCTTTTCTAGTTTTTTTTTGTTTTTTTTTTTGAAAATCAACAACAATTTTGTCACAAATTATTAACTTTGCCAGCAATTGGGCTGATTGTATAAATTAGTAATATTATGGTTTGATTAAGGAAAAAAGAACAACAACAACAACAACAATAACAACAACCCAATAAAATCCCATAAGTGGGGTCTGGAGAGGGCAAAGTGTACGCATACCTTACCCCTACCCCAAAACCCTAGGCTCAAGCAGACGAAAACAGAATGAAATCATGCATTGGTAATGTCTCATAGCACCAAAGCTACTGATTTGAAACTTCAGGTTCAAATTGCGATTTGTACATTCTAGGATCAGAATGCTCACTGCTCAATTGCGTATACCTAATAGGTTCAAAAGTTGCATTTTCTTCTTGGTAACCCGCTTGACCTGTTTAAAATTCACCAAGTGGAACTTATGTGGATGTATCTTGGATGAACTTTTCGTCATGCCTTAACAATTTGACTAGTTCCCTATTCGGGGATATTAGAGCGCCTAGACAATGCCTAGCTTAGTTACATATTATGCTTGTACAAATATGGACGGGGGCAGGTTTAGCATTTGAGTGATTGAAGTGACGACCAGACATGTCACTGAATAGTCCATCTGAAAATTGAACAAGCTACTTGACAGTTTCAAGTAAAAATCCTCATTTTTGGGGTTATTCAAGTCTCCCTAGAAAAAATTAAACAAAATCTAATACTTTCCTCTGATTGTATTGACGTCGAATATGTTTTTTCCTTCATTGTGGGATATGTGAAGGTTGAAAAGATTATTTCAGGTGAAAGGGGCATCATTTTATGATTGAGAATCAATTCCTGGATTTGAACTCAATTAACATGGAAGTTTTACCTACATATTTCTTTTATTATATAGCTCCTGCCTATTGTAGCCGATGCTAGGAGATACAAGAAGTTTTTCACTTAGCCCAATATGTTGACTTCGTCATCATCTATGTTTTGAACCTGCCTATTTGACAATCTACTATGCTAGGCACGTGAGAAGTATTGGTTTCTGAGGTAATCTTGGTAAGACCAAAAGCAAAGTTGTAGTTAGGTGGTTGAAACTGTTGTGGGTATGCGTATGCATGTGGTTTCATTGATTCCTATAGTAGCTTTCCTGTCACTCATTCATTATAATAGGGAAATTGAAAATCCGATAGTTTCATGGTTAGCAAGTTACGTGTCTATCAAAATTGTGAGTGGACTTTGGCTAAACTAATAGCAACGTCTACTTTTTGTGCAGTTGTCAAAAGCAATTTTCGCAGTATACCTGCCCTCGATGTAATACCCGGTATTGCTCTCTTCCTTGTTACAAGGTGAGTGAGAGATTCATTCCTTGTAGTGAAGAAGCTTGAAAAAGAAGAAGGTGATATTCTGCAGTTTACTATATCTTTCTAGTCTGCCTATGCTGAGAGTTGTTATTATTAGCCTGTGAATGGCTATAAGTCCAATATGTCGTGGAGACCCTTGTTATTCATCATTCCTGATTTTTCTTAATGGTATTTTTGGCAGTCTCATAGTCTTCGTTGCACTGAATCCTTTATGAGAGAGAATGTCATGGGGGAACTACAACAATTACAATCAGATGAGGGAAGTAAGCAAAAAATGCTGGACATACTAAAACGATTCCACTCAGAAGATGAAGCAGACGCCATGGATGGAGATGGTAAGCATTGCTTGTGTTGTCTGCAATAATGAATTTTGTTCCTGCTTGATGCATTTCCTAAGAATGACATTTCATTAATTATTAGGCATGTGTATTGCTATCTTATTTGTTTAGAGGAGCAGTATGGAGTATTGTTTTTGTTTTTTACAATCTTAAAAAAGGGCAGTCTTAGGGTTCAGAGGAGGAACACTGATGCACCGGTGAGAAGGTGTGAACGATTGGCTGTGGTGGGTACGAGGAGAGGTAGAGGGAGACCTAAGAAGTATTGGGGAGAGGTGATCAGGCAGGATATGGCGTGACTTAGGGTTACTGAGGACATGACCCTAAACAGGGAATTATGGAGATCGAGCATTAAGGTTGTAGGTTAGGGGAAATTATGATTTCTTTTTACAGCGCACTAGAGTGAGACTAGTCAGTTAGGAATTAGTCTTAGGATGCTATTGATCAGCTACTGATGATGGGCTTTATCTGCTGTTTATTAGTATACCTTACATCTTTCTCGTATTTCCTGTATCTCTTATATTGCTGTTATTTTGTTATTTTATGGTATTTATGTTATGTTATGGATTTTATGGTATTGTATGTTATTTTATTATGAGTCTATTGATAGTACTAATATAGTGTCTCTTGTTGCCTTTTTGAGCCGAGAGTCTCCTGGAAACAGCCTCTCTGCCCCTCGGGGTAAAGGTAAGGTCTGCGTACATATTACTCTCCCCAGACCCCACTTGTGGGATTACACTGGGTTGTTGTTGTTGTTGTTGTTGTTAAAAAAGGGCAGTCTTGTGCACTAAGCCCCGCTTATTTACAGTAAAAGAAGAAATTATGTTGATACAATTTTTGTTGTACTTTACAACAAGGGGGAAAGTTTGATTTGCTCAAGAAGTTTTGTTTTGCGGGATTCTTCTTGTATTCCATGTATTGCATTGCTTTGGGATGTGGATGTTCAAATGAATCTTGTACGATACTCACTCTAGGTTTTATTTTTATTATTTTAATGTATTATTATTATTATTATTATTCATTTTCTTGATAAGGATACTCCATCCAGGTTATCATACTGTCAACAAAGTTGGTGAAATTGAAGAACTGACATAACATGTTACTATTGAAGACAAAATGAATTAAGGTTTCTTATTTTGCTATGCAATTTTTAACTTCATTTTTCGCTTATTGGTTTTGTTGCATCAGATTCCCCATTGTCTGCGGAGACTATTCAAAAAGTTCTATCTGGTATGTTCCTGAAATATCATATTCTGTTGCTGTTTCTTTTTCTCTTTTACATTTTGGGCTCCAGGGGAGGGGTGCAGCTGGGTTATTTGTCCTTACAACTAATGTTTTTCTCTGATCGGGGATGGGGTGGTGGCTGCTTCCTTTTATTTGCAGGGGAGGAGATAAATTTTGATGATCTATCTGCTGAAGAAAGGAAACATTTTCAAAGAGCCGTGGCCTCAGGAGAGTTAAGCAAATTGATTAAACCCTGGGAACCATGGTGGTTGAAGCCTTCTGCCAGGAATATATCTCTTGGTCGGGATGGAGCTCAATTAGTCCAGCCACTTGTGAGGGAGGATGCAGCTCTATCTTCAGAAGATGACATAGAAGGTGGTCCTTTACACGGCATTCCACTTGGCCCCGACTCTCCATTACCCTCAGTTTGTAAGCTCAGTGCAGCCAAACCATCCCCTTTATTGGCTATTCACCTTGTTGACATCATGTACAGTTATTGCTTTACTCTTCGCCTCTACAATGGTGACTGGCAATCAGATCCCATAGGATCAGCCACGGTCTTGTTGAGCGTCTCTTCTGTTCTTGGTCAAGGGGGACAACCAGAGACACTGCTGGAAGCTCTATCGCATTGCCTGGAGCAAACGTGTTCACCGGCTTTCAGACACATGGGTGGCTTACAATTTGCGTTGGGGCTAATCAATGATACAATAGCCCTTTTTCATCTCAAGGGTCCAGCCGTAGTTTGCTTACTTTGCGATCTAAGGAGGCTAGTTCAACACGCAGAGAAGGATTTGAAGTCAGAGAAGCCTCGCAAGTCCAGAAGTTCTGAAATCAAAACAAAGCTCAAGTCCGCTGAAAGGAAAGTTTATTTTATAATGTGCTGGGCTCACGAGCAGCCACGAGAAGCATGGTCTTCCTTAGCAGCCATTGTCGAGGCAGAGAAGAGCCGACTAGTGGATGTCATAGGGAGTAAGACAAACCTTCCGAAAATGGAGAAAGTACAAAATGAGGGCAAGCCTCTGATTAAGGAAATCGAATAACTGACTATTCTTTCATGTATTTCCAGAGTTCCTGTCCCGACGCATTAAGCTCTCGCTATGTGCGGGGTCCGGGGAAGGGCCGGACTACAAGGGTTCATCGTACGCAGCTTTACCTTGCATTTTTGCAAGAGGCTGTTTCCATGGTTCGAACTCATGATCTCCTAGTCACATGGTAGCAACTTTACCACCTACGCTAAAGCTCCCTTTAAATTGCAAAGATCTCTCTGTTACTTATAATTTTTCTAGATACATAGTGGACAGAGACAGACGTGATACTTAAATTAATGCTTTAAGTCTTGGTTCTACTTTTGAATTGTGTCCTTTTGGTCATTGGATGTCTCATGAAGACGTGTTCCTAATGTAGTAATGTACTTTACACGTACACGCTGTTAGTGTAATTAAATTTTCTGGTAAGTATTCTCTTCAATTTTGTTGTATGTGACTAGGGGTGGCAAACATGCGCATCATGTCGGATATGGTTCGGGTCGAAAACGGATAAATTATCCGACTGATACATATTTGATACGGATAAAAAATGGAGTAATCGGATATTATTTATGACTTCTTGAATATGATCCATTTTGGGAGAATTACTAGTCTTCCAAACTTAAGGAACCCCCAATTTAATATTTTACAAATGTAAAAGTTGAACTCATTAATTATCCATTGGTCATCCATTTTCTAAATGGATAATGTGGTTCTTATTCATATTGGACCCATTTTTAAAAAGTTCATTATTCAACCCAAGTTTTAGCGGATAATATGAGTGGATAACTGTTTTCTTTTAACCATTTTGTCACCTCTATATGTGACTGCGTGTTACTTGATTCAACATCGAAGCTTAGCTCATATCATCTTCATACTAAATATAAATAGAACTGAAAAAATATTGATATTAATTCTTTTAATTAAAGATAACTAAACTAAGCTTGATAAAATATTACACTCTTTTTGTTTCAATTTATGAGAACCTTTTCGGAGGATGAAAGTCAAATTAACTAATTTTACGCCAACAATAAAGTCAGTCAGTCAAGCCTAATCTTCGACCACACCCTTAACACTAATTTAAAAGCATTGATACACGAAACCTGGAATAATGAGCTTCGGCAACAGGATCCGGACCCCTTCCAAGAAGCTAGTTGGACTTGGATATAGATTTTTTAGATTTTTGAAATAAAATTCTCAAATTTAGAAATTAAATGAAAAGTACTATAAGTCACAAGACGTGGAACTATATCTTTGGTTGTGAATAGTGATAGAGTGCTAGTGGTTAGATAGCCGGTTGCATGTATCTGAGATAGGTGACTCGAAAAAATTTGTGCTTGATATAGCTCATGGTTCCAAGACGTGGAACTATATCTTTGGTTGTGAATAGTGATAGAGTGCTAGTGGTTAGATAGCCGGTTGCATGTATCTGAGATAGGTGACTCGAAAACATTTGTGCTTGATATAGCTCATGGTTCATGATTGAAGCCTTTGCCTCGCATATGAGATGTGAGTTTCTTGGCCCTAATGAATCTTTACCAGATATTATCTCATCTTTATTGTCTAGTTGGCATTAGGATAAATCATTAATTAACAAGTTATAATATTTAATCATTTGCATAAAAAATATAATGGCATTAAAAAAATATTTATTTGACTTTTCAAATAGTAATATAACATTCCCACATACAACAACAACATCCCATACACCTTTTCATCACCTACAAAAGACATATCTCCCGTGGATCTCGGAGATCCCTCTTTCTCGGGTATTTCCTGGGTCAAGTATTCCGCTCGTCCTTGAAAGAAGCAAGCCTACTCTTATTCATGTATAATGCTTTCTTTAAGGATATCTTTCTTTTCGTAAGCCCACAAGGGATTTCAAGAAGTCTAGGAAAAAATGCAATGAATTGTTTCAAGACCGACTCGAATTGCTTTTTTTCTTTTATTGAATTGATCCCACTAGAACAAAATTAACTTGATTGATACATGTACATACACCTAGCAATTCAACATAAAATTCAAGATATTTCATCGAATCATGGAATGAAGAGATTCTACTTGTCTCCTGAACTAAATTCTTGGAGAAAAAAGAATTTTCTTCTTGATGCCGCTTACTAGAATAATCTCACAAGTGGGGTATGGGGAGGGTAATATGTACGCAGTCCTTACCTCTACCGAGGGGCCGTTTCCACGAGACCAATATAACATCCCCACATGAGAATGGCAAATTCGTAATTCCAAAGGATGTAAAAGGCATTTCTGGCTATAAAATAGAATCAATGATTCACATCATATTCTGGCGACTCAAACGTCGGGTAAAACTGATAAAATCCAACACCATAACAGTGCAAAGAAGCTTCGCGATTTCTGTAATTGTCATTTCATCAAACACTTCGCAGAAGAATACAGAGCAATCATTATCCCTCAATTTTACACATAGCGAGTAAAATATAGCCGGAAATTCAAATTGAATTGGACAATACGATAAAAATGAGCGATGTAGCTGATAAAATAGCGTATTTTCAAGCGATCACAGGTGTTGAAGACACCGATTTGTGCACTGAAATCCTCGCCGCTCATGGCTGGGATCTCGAACTTGCGATCTCTACTTTTACCTCATCAAACTCTTCAGAAAATCACCACTCTGCCACTGACTATACCTCCGAACCCACCACAAGCACGAATCTACAACCGGCAGAAACCGGTCTCGTCGCCGGTGGAACCGCCGAACAACCACCGGGATTAGCTTGGAAAATTATTACTCTTCCGTTCTCCATCATTTCCGGTAGTCTAGGGTTAATTTCTGGTGCTTTAGGGTTTGGTGTATGGGCTGCGGGAGGTGTACTTTCCTATTCGTTGAGAATGATCGGGCTCAATTCGGGCCGTAATGGCGAGTCCACGTCACCTTTAGTATCTGTATCTGCATCGGCTTCAGAGGCAATGAATTTTGTGAATATTTTTGAGAGGGATTTTGGGAGTATAAGGCCGAATTTTATTGCTGAAGGTTTTATGGATGCTTTACAGAGGTCTAGGCATGAGTTTAAGCTGCTTTTTGTGTATTTGCATTCGCCTGAGCATCCGGATACGCCTATGTTTTGTGAAAGGACTTTGTGCAATGAGGCATTGGTGGCATTTATTAATGAGAATTTTGTTTCCTGGGGTGGGAGTATTAGAGCTAGTGAAGGTTTCAAGATGAGTAATAGCTTGAAGGCGTCAAGGTTTCCCTTTTGTGCTGTTGTTATGGCTGCGACAAACCAGAGGATTGCTCTGCTTCAGCAGGTAAACAGTGAAGTCTGTTAGGTGATTTTAATAATATGATTGTTTTGTTTTTTGCAAATTGTCAATGTTCTGTTAGTGTATGCATTTGGATTAATAGAGAGTTCATAAAGGAAACAATTTCTAGAAATGGTCTGTATCAGGCAAGTGTTGTTATATTGCTTTGCAAGTTGTCGATATAGTGTTAGCATATGAATTTGGATTGACTGAGAGCTCATAATGGAAATAGTATCTAGAAATTGTTTGTATCTTGTCTAACTCGTTTCGGGGAAATACTTTAGTTGAAGTGAATGCCATATTAAATCCTGGCTTAAAGTTGCTTTATTTAGTCAAAGACTAGCTTTAGATGAGGGAAATTATGATTCTAGATTGAATTTGGATCAGTAACTTGAAAGCAATCAGCACAATCTTGGACAAACTAGGGATTGCTTGGAAATTTTTTTTAAACTTGGGGGTGTTCACGAATCTTTGATTCCTTTTTTTTTTTGGTGCATGATAGAGCCGTCTTTAGCTTATTAACCACATAGGACATTGGAGAGCAATGCATGTCAAAATATAATTTCGTACTTAATGGTGTGGCATGATTTGATTTAAGGACTTTGGTTGACTTGTCAGGTCGAGACAAAGCAATGACAACATTGAACAATTTGTCAACCACCTTAGTTTATCATAAAGCACTCCTCAATTTGCCATACTTTGTTTTATATGATACTTGTTTCCTAATAAGTAATGAGGTCAGTGCGGAAATCAGTAATGCCTAGCTTAATGTAATTTTCCTAGATGTCTATTTGTCCACACACAGAGCATATGGTCGGTTTCTTCTGTCACTAATAAAATATGACGAAATGAGAGAATTTGGAATAGAACTGCTGGTAAATTCAAGAGGATCTAATTGTCTATGGGATTGAAGTATAGTTACTTACCTGACTGCAATTAAGTTGTCTGGTTATTTCTGTTAACTTCTATACTACTGTTGTACTAGTATACAAAAGTTCCTTTTGAATCATTTTCTAGAGTTAGAGAATGATCTAAGTGCAATAACTGTTGTATGCTCAGTCAGCTGATTTTTGTGATTTTGGGTATGTAGGTGTCATATGGTTGTGACTTGTGTCCCTCTTTGTTATGCTGAAATAGTAATCTTTGAAGTAGAAAGAGAAATGGTGGATCCTGTGTTTCTACCTCATTCTTTTCTTATCCACATAGTTACACCTTTTGCACCAGCTTGAATATCAGGAAATATATAAATACACCACTACTAACAACAATACCTCAGTCCCAAACAAGTTGGGTCAGCTATATGAATCCTCATTTCTTCATTTAAGCTCAACTCATAACATCATCATATAGGAAATATATTAATCAAAATAGAAGGATTTTCCTACTGATATGATGTCTAAAACTGTCGTAAAAAAGAAACAAACTTTGTTACACAAGCTTCCTTTTATCATTGTCGGAACAAGGTTTTAGTATTTCTAAGTATCAAGGTTCTATTTTTTTTTGACCTCTGTATGCTATGTACTCAGTGTGATGAAATCGGTTGTTGTTAGAAGCGGTTTTATCAATTTTTGCACATTATTGCCCACTTTGGTTTTACGCTTCATTGTCTCTTTCACCTTAGTATTCGTTAAGTTTTTTACCACCCTCTCGTTGTAATTTTTGTCGCAAGAATCCACTCATCCCGACATTGACTAGCAATGGTGGCACACATACTGCATGTAGTTTTTTAAAGGCGAAATACATAAATGGCCCCTTTAAGTTGTCCACAACAATCAAATAGACACCCCAATAGACCCATTTACCTAGTAGACACCTCAAGTTATTTTTTAACGTGTCTTATGCACACTTGTGCCTGGCAGATCTTATGGGTGAATTACACTCGCGAATGATGTGGAAAGTTAACAAATCAAAAGATGACACTCGTAATTTCTTAAAAAAATCTAACTTATATTAATAGAAAAGGAAAAGAGAAACACAATATTAATAAAAAAGCAAAACCCAAATGAGACCCCTCCTCTCCCCCAAACATCTTCTTCGTCACCACAGGCCATCTTTCCACCAAATTGGACCGTCTTCCCCTCCTTCTCCCTCAGCCCAAACTTCTTCTTCTTCTTCATAGCCCGCCATAATAAGAAGACTTGAAGAGATTAGTAGTCCGGTGGTTATTAGGCGGAGAGGTGGTGGAAACAGTGAGAAAATACTAGTTGGGTGTGTTGTCTAAGAGTATTACTTTTCAAAAGGATGAAAAAATATGGAGATCCGGCCGGTGAATTGAAGGTGGTCGTCGAGTATAAGTGGTGTTCTTGTGTAAGAAAATAACGTCCGCTTATTGGAATTTGGAGCTAGATAAACCTATCTGTAAATTGAAATACATGGAATCAAAATCCAAAAAAACATATATTTTGATTGACTCATAACTAAAACCATTTCATGTTGAATTTCTAGTTTTTTTTTAAATAATGGATTTGCTCATCTGAAAATTGTGCTGGGACTTCCTTTACATGGTGAAGTGTGGCGTTGAGATTAGTGGGTTAAGGTGCAGAGGACATTGGAAGAAAATTTTGGAGAAGAAAGGGGGAGGATAAGTGGGCTCCACCAGTTAAATTAAAAAAATAAATACAATTTTTGAAGGCTTCACTTGCTGCAACGCGAGTGTAGTACACATATTTTGCCACGTCAGTTTGAAGAGTTTAAGAGATGCGCTGAAAAATAACTTGAGGTGTCTACTAGATAAATAGGTCTGTTGAGGTGTCCAGTTGATTGTTGAGGACAACTTAAAGGGGTCATCTATGTATTTCGCCTTTTTAAAAATATCACTTTTCAGTTGTTTTAGACAATAGGGCACACTTGAAGTATTTTCTGGTAGAAAATTTATCTTTTTTAGATATCTGAATTTACTTCTATCAGAAATAAAAACTTTTTCCCCTAAATCTCAAGCCTAAAGTTTACCTTTCACTTTTTTATCCATCCTTAAGTGAGTAAAAGGGCGAGTATTATCATGTCATATTTCCTAAAAGCGCCGGTTTTCAGCACCAAAGGATTATCGTTGAACACACTGTTATCTCTGTATTGAAGTGAATTGATCCTTCTTTATTCTTCCAGCACACTGCTTCATCCTGTTCCATGCTTCATTAATTAGGTTGTTGGAGAGGTAAGCATGTGGTATTCCTTGTTGCTGCTATATGACAATGTCAAAATTGTATTCGTGAATTGTGTTAAGATGCTCTGTTGAGTCTGATCTTTTGGTCAAGAAATAATATCAGATGAGAAGCTTTATTCTCTCTGGGTTTAGCTGCTTGTGTGGGGTCGCCTTAAGCATATCTGTACTCCTTGTTTGCTTAGGTTTACTGTTGTTATCTTTTAATCTAGGAGGAAAGGTAGTGGTTTTCTAGCTAAAAGGTGAATTGTTGTGCTCTATTACCCTCATGGAAACGGAGCTTTGACCTCCCTGTTCCTTTGTATAGGTAATATGTTAATGATGTTTGAAGTCCTAGGTTTGAAGTTAAGCCCTTGAGTGTGGTCTCTCTGCTTCTCGTTTTGTCCCTTGTAATTGTCTTAGAAAACATAGCATTGATTAGCACTGGTTAGCGTCCGGCAATTGTTGTATTTTTGCTTAGCGGTTTGGCTTAGTCTATTTGACATAATTGGAAATGTTTTGTCATTAATTGGGACATATCATGTGAACATTCTTTCCCGTGGTTTTTGTTAGTTCTGTACTTCCTTTCTAGTGCTTTATCCTGCTTAGCTATCTGGCTAAAAGTAGCTGTGCAAGCTTTTTTCCGTTTGTCGGCGAAATCCAAATCTAGTTGTATTTACTACGTTATATACCAAAAGTAGTGCAAAATCATACCAGATATTATTTGATGTTTTGTGGCAGCAAACTTACTGCACTGGTTTGAGGTCTTGTAAATTATATTCTGATGAACACTATGCAGGTTGAGGGACCAAAATCTCCTGAAGAATTGCTTACTGCACTGCAAAGGGTGCTTGAGGAAAGTGCACCTGTGCTTTTTTCTGCCAGGCTTGAAGCAGAAGAAAGGAGAACTAATATACGTTTGAGGGAGGAGCAGGATGCCGCTTATCGCGCTGCGCTTGAAGCTGATCAGGTAAGTACTTTAGGTTCTAAATTGGCTTTACAAGTTCAATCTTGAGAACAGGGAAAAAGTAATTTGTGCGTTTCTGAACTGTTTGTCCTATACCAGGCTAGAGAGCGTCAGAGGAAAGAAGAGCAAGAGCGGCAGGAAAGGGAAGCTGCTGAAGCTGAAAGGAAGAGAAAGGAGGAAGAAGAGGCTCGTGAAAGAGCAGCCCGTGAAGCCACTGAAAGAGAAGCTGCATTGGCTAAGATGCGTGAGGAGAAATTACTGTCACTGGGCCCTGAACCTGATAAGGGTCCTGATGTTACTCAAGTAATCATCTTGGTCTTGGTTCTCTTATTTACCTGTCTATCAGTATATTATCATAACCGTAAATATGTGGGTGTTTCTGTTAGTTTTAAGCATGCAAAGAGGAAACCTTGACATTAAACCGCATATGTTGAATGCAGTAGAAATACCTTGCGAATATGTTGAATGCAGTAGAAATACCTACTTCGCAGATGATTAAATTATTTGTTGTTTTCTTGTATCCTTCAGGTTTTGGTAAGGTTTCCTACCGGTGAGCGCAAGGAAAGGAGATTTCATTGTACTACAACCATACAATCTCTGTATGACTATGTTGATTCTCTGGGATGCCTGGAGGTTGAGAGATACAGCCTCGTGTCTAACTTCCCCCGCACGGTGTATGGTTCAGAGAAGCTTGCTCTGTCCCTGAAGGATGCTGGATTACATCCTCAGGCCAGCCTTTTTGTTGAGTTGAACTCATGAGAACAACATGCTGAATAATGGAGTCTATTGTGCTAGAGATAATAGCTTTTGCTGAAAATGTGTCTGCCAATCAGAATTTGCAATGAATTGAATTATATGCACTATTGTCTTGTTAACCTCGTTAGTTTTCTACTACTTTCTCTCAAAGTAATGGATAGTTGGGAACCATGATATATACTTTACTTGGCAAATTCAGTTGTAACTGGCCACTAAATGGTTGACCACTTAATCTAGCAGGATATATTTGAACGAAGCCCAACATATAATCCCCCTTGCGAGATTTAACCTGGCCCGTATAACATCTCAATTTAAAATTAAAAGAAAAAGTGAACAAGTATTTCTTTTAATTTTGCACAAATAGCCGACCAGCTTTATGCTTCACTTTTTCTAGCCGGTATATATTGATTACACACATTATATATGAACTTTACATACATTATACATCCGTCGACTATTTTTAGTTTAAGAAATTAAGTGGGTATTTATTTGGGTTAATTCTTCTTGGTTGTTACCCAACCTGTCTATATCCAAGCAACCATATCTGATGGAACTCTTTACTCATTTTTCATCACACTGAGGGATCGTTTGGTAGGATGCATTAGATAAAATAATGCATGCATTAACTTTGTGTATTAATAATACCTTGTTTGGTAGACATTTTGAACCTATGCATTAGTTATACAAGCATTAGTTATACATCCTATTTGGTATTATCCTATGCATAACTAATGCATAGAAAATAATGGTATTAGCAATTCAATGAGTTTTAATGCATGCATTAGCTTAATTAAAGACAAAATTGTCCTTCAACATTTATGCTTGATTAAATTATGCTAGTTATTATATTGATGGAAGTTTAAAATAATCCAAATAGTGAGAAATAAAATTATAGCTCTAGTAAATAAATAAATACTTAGCATATTTCCTTTTTTATATATAAATATTTAGTTTTATTTTACAATATAGGTAGACAAATTAAATAATTTTTTAAAAACTTTTTTTCATATAAAAATATTTCTCAACATATGTTCCATTTAGAAAGTTAAAGTGATGGATTGATTTTGAGGGCATTTTTGTAAACAAATAATTCTTTTAGAAATTGCATAATGCTTTAATACATCAATCAAACAATGAATAAGAAATATGTCACCATAACTAATATCAGCATAACTAATACACCCTATTCAGCATTATTCTTATGCACCCTACCAAACGACCCCTGAGTGTTAATGTAACACATGCCTAGGTGACATGTCCTAATGCTTTTTATACGTGATATTTATCGTGAATTGATTAGTTTTATATTGTTTTAACCTACCACAATGTTTCTCCTTCATCTGTAAATGGGACCTGCGAATCGGCAATGGAAAAGACTTTGAAAAGACCAAGTATATTAGCATAGGTGTAACTCAAGGCCTGCTTCCTACCTATCTTAAGGACCACAGTTATATGATCATTTCTAAATAAGGAAAGACATCTGAAAATGATCATTTCTAAATAAGGAAAGACATTTGAAAGACATTGTCACAATATTCTTCAAATACTCATTCAAACAAGCTGAATTTGGCTATAAAATCCCAGGCATTATTACAGAGTCACATTAATATTCAATCTTGAGAAGTTTTGAGCAATACAAATCACCACAATTTTTGCTAGAAAAATGACAGGAAAAATTTAAAGAAAAAACAAGAAAGAGAACACAAGCATATCATAAGTTACACAACACTGGTCATATCTTGCTATTGTTGGAATGACAATATCTGTGTAAATCAGTCAGCTGCAACTTGGTACTAGCAGCTAATCTCTTTTAAGGAAACCAAAATACCTTCCTCACAAGTTCACTGCAAAACCCAAATTTGAATTCAGGGCTCGTTTCTTCCATTGTAGAACAGAAAGATAGACAATGTACATTAAAACACACAGTCTAAAGAGTCGAACAAATCAACCGAGGAATCAAATTCACTTTGAGAGACCTAATATTATTTGTAGTTCACCTTTACATGTTTGTCTATTTCACGAACAGTACTGATTTAGTTTTCCTCTTATATCAGGAAGGAATAAGCAAATAATAGCAAGAACAAACAACCATGAACCCCCCACACCCTAAATTTTTTTTTTTTTACGCACAAAGGGTACTAAAGAAAACTACAGCAACAACAAACAGCAATGACAAACACTACGAAGCCCTCATAAAAATGAATTTTTAACAGGATTGTCATAGCAGGAGTAGCCAAATTCAGAATATGAACATAGGCAAGCTGTATATGGATAGTATGTGCTCACTAATGAAATAAGATAAACACAACATACAATGGCTAAATTACTGCATTGACAGAGACCACCGTTAGAAGAGTTTCATAGAACCATTTTCTACTTATGCAATGATTTTTCTAAATCTTTTCACTGACCATTTTCTAAATCTTTTCACTGAACCATTTTCACTGACAAGAGGGGTTGCTCTGATGGTAAGCAACCTCCACTTCCAACTAAGAGGTTGTGAGTTCGAGTCTCCCCAAGAGCAAGGTGGTAAATTCTTGGAAGGAAGGATGCCGGGGGTCTATTTGGAAACAGCCTCTCTACCTCAGGGTAGGGGTAAGGTCTGCACCATGTATATCATAATTAAAAGGCCGTACAACAAGCACATGCAACGAATGTAACAAACTCTTTATCACAGTCCACAATATACTCCTATTTAGTAGTTATACAGAAGAAATCCTATTACAATCAACAGGTTAATTCTTACCTAATGATTCAACACAGTTCATGATCAGAAGGCAAAATATGTAATGGATATTGAAAGTTCATTGTTGATGATTTACTTACTTGAATCAAAGGCGTAAACTTTAAGCATGTTGTTTCCCAATTCCTCATGCTTTTCCTGGATCTGCTTGGCAAAAGTGACAAGAGGATGACAGCATTTATGTAACTCAATTAGCTGCAGCGTCACACTATCTGCAAATCCTTCTGGGATTTCTTGTAAGTACCTGCATTCTCTGATATATACATGCTCAAGGCATTGGAAATAATCATCGGTGGCTTTCCAATAAATAAGAAGCAGATCCTCAAGGAGTAAAAACTTCAATTTAGGGAATCCCATCTCTGTTATTTCCCACTCATCGCCTGAGAAGGCACGATTTTTCAACTCAAGCACCTCGAGATTGGGCAACTTGCTAAAAATTTTCATGCAATTCCATGGAAGACAAGTACGGGTAAGTGTCAATTTCTTGAGATTTGGTGGGAAAGAACCTGAACTTGGATTTATTAAACACGGCGGATAGTCAAAACCACAATAGAGTGAAACTGTAACCTTCAGTGCCTCGAGCTCTTCAAAATATTTAAGATTATTATGCCATCCCGTCTCACTATTAAATTCCTGTGCTTCACCAGCAATTTCCAATTTCTTCACTTTCTTAATCCCTTCAAATATTTCCTTAGTGCAACAAGAAGGTCTCAACCCATAAACAGTTTGTAAGTTTTCCAAAATCAAGTTCTTCGCCTCGTTTTGTGATGCCAGCTGAGGAGAGTCCAAATACATACACCAACAATGGAGATGCCTTAACTGAGATAATTTCCAAATTCCATTTGGTAAGGAGTACATTCCCCATATACCAGTGTGTATTGGACGAACAATGAGAGTTTGTAAATTCAGAAGTTTAGAAATTGGTAACTTACCAGGTTTCCTAATCCTCAATGCCAAATACCTTAGAAGAACTAGTTCTAGTATAGCTATGGGGAAATGGAGAATCTTCCTTTTCTCCATGTCCAATACCCTAAGAAGTTTGAAATGACAGCGATCTAGAATGATTTGTTTACAGTTGACAGAAAAGGAACGTAATTTACTATAACCAAAATCAGGGAATGGACGGCGAAAATAAAAGCGCCTTGATTGTAGTGACATCCACCTGCAGCCTTCAGGAATAAACCATAGAGGTCCATCAATATTGGTATTCACAAAATACAGAAGATTCTGTCCGTCGGCTTCTTTCAAGCAGAAATCATGAACAAGATCATGAATCATACATCTTATGATTTTACCATCCATACTTCTTTTGCTAACAATAACTAGACTTTTATCAATAAGATAATTTAAATGACTAGCGGCCACTTCTTCCAATCCCTCCATACCCTTTACCTTTAGGAGCCCTTCCGCAATCCATAATCTCTTCAACCTTTCCATAGAAATTTTACTAGCTTTTGGAAAAAGTCCAAAATACAGAAAGCAACCTTTCAGATAATAAGGAAGATGATTGTAGCTTAAAGCTAGCACTTCTGAGCATTGTTGATAAGCATCAACGTCTGCTAATGAGCTCAAACTTTTAGCTACTTTTCTCCACTCTTCCAATGTCCTCTTGCTAGACAGAAACTTGGCAACCACGGCAATCATAAGTGGTAATCCTTTGCAGTTTTTTGCAATGTACTTCCCGACATCCTCAAATTCAATTGGAAAACCTTTTTCTGCAAATGCTTTTTGGTAAAACAAATTCCAACTGTCATCGGGGCCTAGTAAATGCATCCTGAAAGGATCCTTCGGAGAGCTAGCATATTGAGCAACCTCAACGTCTCGAGTAGTCAACAATACCCGACTTCTTTTACCATCGTCTGGAAGACACAGTCTAATCTCATCCCAAGCGTTTTTGCTCCATATGTCATCCACAACAATCAAATACCTTCGACCCATTAAACTTTGTTTCAAGCAAACGGCTAAATCTGAATCGCTTTTCTTATCAAGGTCTTCTTCCTTCCCAATATTAGCATCTTCAAGGAGGCCTAAAAGCATATTTCTATAACTATAGTCCTCAGACACGGTAACCCATCCACGGATGTCAAAGAAGCTCAAAACTGAGGGATGAGAAAACAGCTTTTTGGCAAAAGTTGACTTACCAATGCCGCCCATACCTGTAACAGAGATGACTTCCAGTTCAGGCGAGTCTCTGGTAAGTTGACTCAGCATGTTTGCTTGTTCAATGTTGTACCCCACCATATCGTTCTCATGGGTTGGAGCATGCAATCGTGGTGAACTTGAATCACCAATCGAGGAATTTCCAGCTTGCAAGTTGTTGTTCGGACTGTGCTTGATGAGCTCTTCCTTGAGGGAATCAACATTTTCAATACCTCGTTGTAAGATCTCAAAAAGACTCTCGAGGGCTTCCTTTTGATGGAGTCCATCATGTTGTTCC